ACTGGGACAGAGGGTGGGGGAGGGTCTGTGGGCAGGGGCGGGGGTGGGGGGAGAACTGGCAGCAGTTGGGAGAGCCTGGAGACGGAGGGCTGAGGCTAGCTGTGTTGCCATGAGGACCTGAGTCCTGCCAGAGACCATGGAACTGGGAGGGAGTGGGAAGAGGCTGGGTGGGAGCGCTAGGGAGGGACTGGGGGCCCTGAGAAGGGGATTGTCCAAATCTCCAGGCCTTGAAGGGGCTTCATTGTACCTCCTCTACTCAGGGCACACGGGAGCCTGTTCCCCTCACCAAGCCACTCTCCCAGGCCCCAGTGAGGGGCAGAGGCACTTTCCTGGAATAGGAGAGGCAGACAGTAATTAATGTGCAATGAGACAAAATATGGACTTTTCCAGTAGCAGGCTTTCCCCAGGGTGCCTGGAATATGATAATAATAATACTAGCAGCTAACACTGCAAATGAGTTTCCCATTGTACAGAGGCTGGAGGTGAATTTTCCCAGCTTACACAGCTGGGATTTGAAGGTTGGCTTGTGTGACTTCAAAGTCCAGGCCCTTCCACCCCACCGCCTGCCTCTCCTGTAACATGTCTAAAATGCTCGCTGCTATGCTTGGCATACAGAGCGTGCGTACTTGGGGAAACCATGATATCCAGCCCTTATCCCTCGCAGGAGTCTGTGTGGGAAGATAGCGGGATATTTAGAGTGGGGAAGGGCGGTGGAAGCTGGGTAGAGAGGAGGGACTAGACCATGCCTGTGACCCAGTTTGGGCTTCGCCTGGGACTGTGGTACCCGTGTGCTGCTGAGTCATCTCACTGCTGGGCTGAATGACCAGCCCAGGGCTCCGCCCAACCCCCTTCTTGCTCTTCTTCAAATCATAGCTGAGTGAGTAGGCCCGGGCTCCCAAGGCCTTCCTGCCTTCCCAGGACCAGAGTCCTGGAGCCTCCGTTCCAGAGGTTCCTGCCACACCCAGCTCTCTGACCCAGGGGGATTTTGAGCCTTTGTGAGATAAGGGGAGCTCCCTTCCTCTCCTCTACTTGCCTCTGGCTGGTCTAGTGCTTTCCTCAAGAGGCTGTGCTTTCTCCAGTCTTTCTCCTCCCAGCTATCTTCTGGCATAGTCACCTCCGGCAGATAGGTAATTACACGTTTCCTTCTACCCAAGGACCCTGAGCCCTTTCCTCATTCTGATTTAATCTCTTTACACCCTCCTCCAGGGTGTTGAAGACACACTGATTCTTCCTTGCAACCCAGAGCTGGGGGAGGGCGGGGGAGCAAGGCCCAGGAGAGAGCCAGAAACTTGGCCAAGGTCTCATGGCTTAGCTGGGGACTAAAGGAACCAGATCTCCTGGCTCCTGCTGTCCCCAAATAAACAAACATCTCTCCTGCAACATAAGGTCTTCCCTGGTGTCCAGCTTTAATCTTTCTCACTGCAAATGAAAGACTGTGACTTTGTCCTCTTGGTGGGAGGGGTCTGGGAGTGGGTGAAGGATGGTGGGGATCAGCCTCGCTGCTGGCCCAGCTGCTGGTAGGAAGGAACACTCTTCCCTAGAGGGGTTTTAGCAACGCCTTTGCAGGATTACCTTCCCCAGAACGCCAGGCTTCTGCTTCTTTGCAGAGGCCCAGGTCAGCCTGGGCAGAACTTCCACAGCCCTGGGCCTTCGGAAAGGAGTGGTTAGCTGGGCTGGCTTGGGTGGTATCCATGAGCAGCCTGCCCTGGGGGGCTGTGGGAGCATTAGTAGTCCCAGGCAGCCGGTGCCCAGCCTCAGGAGCCCAGCCCAGCCAGTGGGGCAGACGGGGAGGGCCAGGTTATCTTTAAATGGCACCTTACTCAGACTGCACCTCTGCCAGCTGGGCAGGGTGGGGGCAGACAAGTGTTATTTTGGGATCTGAGGATCTGAGGGTAAGGAAGGAAGAAGTTTCTGTTTACAGCTCTTTTGTTTATCTTCGCTCAGTCTCCTGGGAAGGGTTTGGGGACAGGGGCCGCAGCCCTCCAGCTGGTCCTTTCCACCCTGGGGTCTCCGTTTTCAGCCTAGCCCTGTTCATCATCTGCACAGGTGGGAACTTTTGGACAGACAGAGATACAGGGCCTTTTGGTGTGACAGCCTCTGCAAGGTCAAGTTTGGATATTGAGAGTTGCTTTAGGCTTGGAATTAGACTGATGGCAGAAATTACTACTTACTATGAGGCAGCACTATTATGTTGACTTTAATCCTCAAAATGACTTCATGAAGCAGATAACTAATATTATACCTATTATGTGGATGAGAAAGCGGAGGCACAGATAATTTAAGTAATTTGCCCAAAGTCACCCATCTGGTAGATGGCAGAGCCAGGATTCAAACCCAAGCAGTCTGGCTCCAGAATTCACGCTCTGAACCCCTAAC